ATAGACTCATCACACATAGACTCACAGACTCATCACACATAGACTCATAGACTCACCACACATAGTCTCATCACACAGAGACTCATAGAGTCACCAAACATAGACCCATAGACTCACCACACATAGTCTCATCACACATAGACCCATAGACTCATCACACATAGACTCATAGACCCACCACACATAGACTCACAACACATAGACAAATAGACTCATCACACATAGACTCATAGACTCATCACACATAGACTCATAGACTCATCACACATAGACCCATAGACTCACCACACATAGACCCATAGACTCACCACACATAGACTCACCACACATAGACTTATAGACTCATCACACATAGACTCATAGACTCATCACACATAGACTCATAGACTCACCGCACATAGACCCATAGACTCACCACACGTAGACTCACCACACATAGACCCATAGACTCACCACACATAGACGCATAGACTCACCACACATAGACTCATAGACTCAGCACACATAGACTCACCACACACGACTCATAGACTCACCACACATAGACTCATAGACTCACCACACATAGACTCATAGACTCACCACACATAGACTCACCACACAAAGACTCACCACACACGACTCATAGACTCACCACACATAGACTCATTGACTCACCACACATAGACTCACCACACACGACTCATAGACTCACCACACATAGACTCAAAGACTCACCACACATAGACTCATAGACTCACCACACATAGACTCACCACACAGACTCACCACGCACGACTCATAGACTCACCACACATAGACTCATAGACTCACCAAACATAGACTCATAGACTCATCACACATAGACTCACCACACATAGACCCATAGAGTCACCAAACATAGACCCATAGACACACCACACATAGTCTCATCACAGATAGACCCATAGACTCATCACACATAGACTCATAGACCCACCACACATAGACTCATCACACATAGACTCACAGACTCATCACACATAATGCTGTTAGAAGTAGCAAGTAGAGGAGACACAGAGACAAAGCTCCCCCAGGTAGCCTCTAGCAGGGTTGTAGGGGCAAGTGCTGTTAGTAACAAGTAGAGGAGACACAGAGACAAAGATTCCCCAGGTAGCGTCTAGCAGGGCTGTAAGGACAAGTGCTGTTAGTAGCAAGTAGAGGAGACACAGATACAAAGATCCCCCAGGTAGCCTCTAGCAGGGCTGTAGGGGCAAGTGCTGTTAGTTGCCAGTAGAGGAGACACAGAGACAAAGCTCCCCCAGGTAGCCTCTAGCAGGGCTGTAGGGGCAAGTGCTGTTAGTAGCCAGTAGAGTAAACACAGAGACAAAGATCCCCCAGGTAGCCTCTAGCAGGGCTGCAGGGGCAAGTGCTGTTAGTAGCCAGTAGAGGAGACACAGAGACAAAGATCCCCCAGGTAGCCTCTAGCAGGGCTGTAGGGGCAAGTGCTGTTAGTAGCCAGTAGAGGAGACACAGAGATGAAGATCCCCCAGGTAGCCTCTAGCAGGGCTGCAGGGGCAAGTGCTGTTAGAAGTAGCAAGTAGAGGAGACACAGAGACAAAGCTCCCCCAGGTAGCCTCTAGCAGGGTTGTAGGGGCAAGTGCTGTTAGTAACAAGTAGAGGAGACACAGAGACAAAGATTCCCCAGGTAGCGTCTAGCAGGGCTGTAAGGACAAGTGCTGTTAGTAGCCAGTAGAGGAGACACAGAGACAAAGCTCCCCCAGGTAGCCTCTAGCAGGGCTGTAGGGGCAAGTGCTGTTAGTAGCAAGTAGAGGAGACACAGAGACAAAGATCCCCCAGGTAGCCTCTAGTAGAGAAAACACAGAGACAAAGCTCCCCCAGGTAGCCTGTGGCAGGGCTGTAGGGGCAAGTGCTGTTCTTTGGCACACACAGAGGGAGTGGTTGGCCAGCACCTTGCCCGCCCGGCCGCCTTTGTCTCTCCCCAGTGGCGATGTTTACTGCGTCACATTGCACCAATAAGTGTGAATGACGGAACGCAATGCAGGATGGTGAAAATTATAGAACGCCTAATCCTTGTTCGTTCGGTTAAAAATCACGTAGATAGTAAATACAATAAAACGTTAAGTACATTTACGAAATAAATTGCCTTCATTTATTGATTTTTAGCTTCTATCTACGTGACGTTACCGACAGAACCAAGAATTCCGGCAGTCACGAAAGTTTTAAGTCAAACTTTAGAGACGCCTGCAAGAAAACAGGTGTCAATCAACATTCACGCGTCCAGAGTCCTATAAATACAACTACCCCCCACCTTCACCCCCCCACCTTCACCCCCCACCTTGACCTCCCCCCACCTTGACCTCCCCCCCACCTTGACCTCCCCCCACCTTCACCCCCCCCCACCTTCACCTCCCCCCCCACCTTGACCTCCCCCCCACCTTCACCTCCCCCCACCTTGGCCTCCCCCCCCTTCACCCCCCACCTTGACCTCCCCCCACCTTCACCTCCCCCCACCTTGGCCTCCCCCCCCCTTCACCCCCCACCTTGACCTCCCCCCACCTTGACCTCCCCCCACCTTGACCTCCCCCCACCTTCACCCCCCCCACCTTGACCTCCCCCCCACCTTGACCTCCCCCCACCTTCACCTCCCCCCACCTTGGCCTCCCCCCCCTTCACCCCCCACCTTGACCTCCCCCCACCTTCACCCCACCCACCTTCACCCCCCCCACCTTGACCTCCCCCCACCTTCACCTCCCCCACCTTGGCCTCCCCCCCCCTTCACCCCCCACCTTGACCTCCCCCCACCTTGACCTCCCCCCACATTCACCCCCCACCTTGACCTCCCCCCACCTTCACCCCCCACCTTGACCCTCCCCCCACCTTCACCCCCCCCACCTTCACCCCCCCCACCTTGACCTCCCCCCACCTTGACCTCCCCCCACCTTGGCCTCCCCCCACCTTCACCCCCCACCTTGACCTCCCCCCACCTTGACCTCCCCCCACCTTCACCCCCCACCTTGACCTCCCCCCACCTTCACCCCCCACCTTCACCCCCCCCACCTTCACCCCCCCCACCTTGACCTCCCCCCACCTTCACCTCCCCCCACCTTGGCCTCCCCCCCCCTTCACCCCCCACCTTGACCTCCCCCCACCTTGACCTCCCCCCACCTTCACCCCCCCCACCTTCACCCCCCCCACCTTCACCCCCCCCCACCTTGACCTCCCCCCACCTTGACCTCCCCCCACCTTCACCTCCCCCCACCTTGACCTCCCCCCCCCTTCACCCCCCACCTTGACCTCCCCCCACCTTGACCTCCCCCCACCTTTACCCCCCACCTTGACCTCCCCCCACCTTCACCCCCCCCCCACCTTCACCCCCCCACCTTGACCTCCCCCCACCTTGACCTCCCCCCACCTTGGCCTCCCCCCCTTCACCCCCCACCTTGACCTCCCCCCACCTTGACCTCCCCCCACCTTCACACCCCCACCTTGACCTCCCCCCACCTTCACCCCCCCCTCCCACCTTCACCCCCCCACCTTGACCTCCCCCCACCTTCACCTCCCCCCACCTTGGCCTCCCCCCCCTTCACCCCCCACCTTGACCTCCCCCCACCTTGACCTCCCCCCACCTTCACCCCCCCCCACCTTCACCCCCCACCTTCACCCCCCACCTTCACCCCCCACCTTGACCTCCCCCCACCTTGACCTCCCCCCACCTTCACCCCCCACCTTGACCTCCCCCCACCTTCACCCCCCCCACCTTGGCCTCCCCCCACCTTCACCCCCCACCTTGACCTCCCCCACCTTGACCTCCCCCCACCTTCACCCCCCCCACCTTCACTCCCCCCACCTTCACCTCCCCCCACCTCCCCCCCACCTTTACCCCCCCACCTTCACCCCCCCCACCTTCACCCCCCCACCTTCACCTCCCCCACCTTCACCTTCACAACTCCACCTTCACCCCCCCCCACCTTCACCTCCCCCCCACCTTGACCTCCCCCACCACCTTCACCCCCCCACCTTCACCTCCCCCCCACCTTCAACCCCCCCCACCTTGACCCCCACCACCTTCACCCCCCCACCTTCACCTCCCCCCCACCTTCAACCCCCCCCACCTTCACCCCCACCACCTTCACCCCCCCACCTTCACCCCCCCCACCTTCACCTCCCACCTTCACAACTCCACCTTCACCCCCCCCCACCTTCACCTCCCCCCACCTTGACCTCCCCCCCCACCTTGACCTCCCCCACCACCTTCACCCCCCACCTTCACCTCCCCCCCACCTTCAACCCCCCCCACCTTCACCCCCACCACCTTCACCCCCCCACCTTCACCCCCCCCACCTTCACCTCCCACCTTCACAACTCCACCTTCACCCCCCCCCACCTTCACCTCCCCCCACCTTGACCTCCCCCCCCACCTTGACCTCCCCCACCACCTTCACCCCCCACCTTCACCTCCCCCCCACCTTCAACCCCCCCACCTTCACCCCCACCACCTTCACCCCCCCACCTTCACCTCCCCCCCACCTTCAACCCCCCCCACCTTCACCCCCACCACCTTCACCCCCCCACCTTCACCTCCCCCCCACCTTCACCTCCCCCCCACCTTCACCCCCCCACCTTCAACCCCCCCCACCTTCACCCCCACCACCTTCACCCCCCCACCTTCACCCCCCCCCACCTTCACTTCCCCCACCTTCACCTCCCCCCCACCTCCCCCCCCCACCTTCACCCCCCCACCTTCACCCCCCCCACCTTCACCCCCCCCACCTTCACCTCCCCCCCACCTTCACCCCCCCACCTTCACCCCCCCCACCTTCACCTCCCCCCCACCTTCACCCCCCCCACCTTGACCCCCCCCACCTTCACCTCCCCCCCACCCCAACCCCCACCCACCTCACCAGGGGGAATCGATTCGAATAATCGTCATCTAGAGTAAATCTCCTTTGTTGTTGCTGCTATCGTCGCGAGCATCGATTCCATAACTTTGTATAGTTTAACTCGACAGAATCGATTTCCCGCAATTCTCTGCAGACTCGTATGGCGGAGAAATCGGTTCGCGAATCGATACAAACGATTCCGACCTCCCACTTATAAATTTGGCATCTATTTTTGGCTGGGTTCTTGGCTCTGTGGACCCGTGAGTATTTTTTTAAAAAACCTCCGTCTCGATTAATTTAGCGATCGCCTTTTTGTAACTCAAACAAACAAGTAACTCACCCGAGGTGGGGAGGGTTTTTTTCACGGCCTCCCGTCTTCGCCCAACTGCTTATGGCTCCCTGAATCGCGGAGACCGAGGGGCTTATAGGCCCGAGCCTCGGTCTTGCATAGATTTCTCCCCCGGGAGGCTAACGCGAACCGAGGCGGGCCGAGGGAGTCCCACCGTGAATCGCGGAGACCGAGGGGCTTATAGGCCCGAGCCTCGGTCTTGCCTAGATTTCTCCCCCGGGAGGCTAAGGCGAACCGAGGCGGGCCGAGTGAGTCCCACCGTGAATCGCAGGAGACCGAGGGGCTTATAGGCCCGAGCCTCGGTCTTGCCTAGATTTCTCCCCCGGGAGGCTAAGGCGAACCGAGGCGGGCCGAGGGAGTCCCACCGTGAATCGCGGAGACCGAGGGGCTTATAGGCCCGAGCCTCGGTCTTGCCTAGATTTCTCCCCCGGGAGGCTAAGGCGAACCGAGGCGGGCCGAGGGAGTCCCGCCGTGAATCGCGGAGACCGAGGGGCTTATAGGCCCGAGCCTCGGTCTTGCCTAGATTTCTCCCCCGGGAAGTTAAAGCGAACCGAGGCGGGCCGAGGGAGTCCCACCGTGAATTGCAGGGACCGAGGGGCTTATAGGCCCGAGCCTCGGTCTTGCCTAGATTTCTCCCCCGGGAGGTTAAGGCGAACCGAGGAGGGCCGAGGGAGTCCCACCGTGAATCGCAGAGACCGAGGGGCTTATAGGCCCGAGCCTCGGTCTTGCCTAGATTTCTCCCCCGGGAGGCTAAGGCGAACCGAGGCGGGCCGAGGGAGTCCAACCGTGAATCGCGGAGACCGAGGGGCTTATAGGCCCGAGCCTCGGTCTTGCCTTGATTTATCCCCCGGGGGGCCGACGCGGGCGTGGGCCACCCCACGCCCCCCCTTGGCCCGGTAGTAATCGCGATGTATTTCGTAGTCGGGATAAGCGATTGCTTTTAGAATACGTAGCGCATATAGGTACGGGCGGTTTGAATACATAGTGCGGATGAGCGGGGCCGATTGGAATACGCAGTCCGCATTTGTGTACGCCCATTGCTTATGAGCAATGGTTTAGATTTCGATATTAGGAACCCACTAGGAGCTATGGTGCACTTTTAAATAATCGTAATGCCTTGACTTTACCGAAAGAACCAGAGAGTATGGATTCCTGCAGTCAAGATCATAATGTAGATTGAAAAACTCGTTTATTGAGAAATGCTTGTTTGTTAGTAGTCCTCCCGCGCCTCCGATTAGCACGGTTGGCTGTAAATGGTTGAGTGTCTGGGTGAGTGAGTGGGTGAGTGAGTGTGTTGGTTAGTGGATGAGTGAGTGTGTAGGTGAGTGAGTGTCTGGGTGAGTGTGTGGGTGAGTGAGTGAGTGTGTGGGTGAGTGAGTGTGTGGGTGAGTGAGTGTGTGGGTGAGTGAGTGTGTGGGTGAGTGAGTGTGTGGGTGAGTGAGTGGGTGAGTGAGTGGGTCGGTGAGTGAGTGGATGTGGGTGAGTGAGTGGATGAGTGAGTGGATGTGGGTGAGTGAGTGGATGTGGGTGGGTGAGTGAGTGGGTGGGTGAGTGAGTGGGTTAGTGAGTGAGTGTGTGGGTGAGTGTGTGGGTGAGTGTGTGGGTGAGTGGGTGAGTGGGTGAGTGAGTGAGTGTGTGGGTGGGTGAGTGAGTGTGTGGGTGAGTGAGTGTGTGGGTGAGTGAGTGTGTGGGTGAGTGAGTGTGTGGGTTAGTGGGTGAGTGAGTGTGGGTTAGTGGGTGAGTGAGTGTCTGGGTGAGTGAGTGGGTGGGTGAGTGAGTGTCTGGGTGAGTGAGTGAGTGGGTGAGTGAGTGTGTGGGTGAGTGAGTGGATGTGGGTGAGTGAGTGGGTGAGTGTGTGGGTGGGTGAGTGTGTGTGGGTGAGTGAGTGGGTGGGTGAGTGAGTGAGTGAGTGGGTTAGTGAGTGTGTGGGTGAGTGTGTGGGTGAGTGAGTGGATGAGTGAGTGTGTGGGTGAGTGGGTGGGTGAGTGAGTGTGTGGGTGAGTGAGTGTGTGGGTGGGTGAGTGAGTGTGGGTGAGTGGGTGCGTGAGTGTGTGGGTGAGTGTGTGGGTGAGTGGGTGGGTGAGTGGATGAGTGTGTGGGTCAGTGAGTGGGTGAATGAGTGTGTGGGTGAGTGAGTGGGTGAGTGAGTTGAGTGTGTGGGTGAGTGAGTGTGTGGGTGAGTGTGTGGGTGGGTGAGTGAGTGTGGGTGAGTGGGTGCGTGAGTGTGTGGGTGAATGGGTGAGTGAGTGTGTGGGTGAATGGGTGAGTGAGTGAGTGAGTGTGTGGGTGAGTGAGTGTGTGGGTTAGTGGTTGAGTGAGTGTGTGAGTGAGTGGGTGGGTGAGTGAGTGTGTGGGTGAGTGAGTGAGTGAGTGTGTGGGTGAGTGAGTGTGAGTGAGTGTGGGTGAATGGGTGCGTGAGTGTGTGGGTGAGTGGGTGGGTGAGTGGATGAGTGTGTGGGTGAGTGGGTGAGTGAGTGGGTGGGTGAATTGAGTGGTTGAGGTGAGTGGGTGGGTGAGGTGTGTGAGTGAGTGGGTGGATGGGTGAGTGGTACTGCTTGGAGAAGAGATAGACCGATGCGAATGTGGGTGAGTGTGGTTGGGTGAATGGGTTGGTGGGTGTTGTGAGTGCGTGAGTGGGTGGGTGAGTGGGTGGGTGAGGTAAATGTGTGGGTGAGGTGAGATGAGTGGGTGAGGTGAGTGTGTGATTGAGTGGTTGAGGTGAGCAGGTAGCTGAGTGGGTGGGTGGATGAGTGGTTGCGATGGGTGAGTGAGTGAATGAGTAAATGGTTGAGTGTGTTGGTGAGGTGAGTGAGTGGGTGAGGTGAGTGTGTGGGTGAGTGGGTGAGGTTAGGTGAGTGGTTGAGGGGAGTGGTTGAGGGGAGTGGATGAGGTGAGTGGGTGAGGTGTGTGTTGGTTAGGTGAGTGTGTGAGTGGGTGGGTGAATAAGTGGGTGGGTGAGTGTGGTTGGGTGAATGAGTGGGTGGGTGAATGGGTGACTGAGTGACTGATAGAGGCGGCTAAACGAGCGCAGCATGGGCTGGAGAAGAGAATAACTGATGTGTGACTGGGTTAGTCTGTGAGTGGGTGGGTGAATTGGTGAGTTTAGTAGGTGAGTAAGTGTGCGAGTGAGTGACTGGGTGAGAAGAGATGGACCGATGGTATCGCTGTGTTGAGCAATGCCATGGGGAGGGCAGCCAATTTGAAAATGGGCTCTCCCCCTTCTTGGCACTTGTGGCCACAACAGTTGGCCAATGGTGGCTCTGGACGGGTGCGAGGGGGCTGGTAACCCCTCCAACCTTCAATGCAATTACCACACAAACGCGGGATAAATATCTGGCAAAGCTTGTGCCGGAGGCCCCGGGGGGGACGGGCGTCCATGACGTATACTTGCCAAACCCCCATTTGGCGGAACCAGGAGACTGAATCCTCTCACCCTCGGTTTTCCATCCAGAAACGGCAAAAAGCCACTGTTGGGACCCAACGTGGAATGTCCCGAACACTCACAGCAGAGGAGAGGCTGCCACTCCTCTTGTCGGGAGCTGGACAGGTGCCACCTGAGTCTCCGCGGCATTCAGCAGGCCCGGTTGGGACCGGCTCTTGCCTTCCAGTCACGACGACTGAGAAAGCGCTACGGATAAAGAAAGAAAGAAAGAAGAAAACAAAAAACAAAAGTAGCTTTTTGCCACCGTTTTCCCATCCTGCCTCCGTCCAGGTAGCGCCAAACCCGACGGGCATGGAGCGGAGGCCTGCCGGGCGGCCCCCGGGCAACCGTCACGAGTGCGACCACTGCCCCTACGTCACGGACCGCGCGGGACACATGGAGAAGCACCGCAGGACCCACACGGGCGAGAGGCCGTTCGCGTGCCCCGTGTGCGACAGGCGGTTCACGCAGCCGTCGGCCCTCCGCAGCCACGAGAGGACCCACACGGGCGAGAGGCCCTTCGCGTGCGACCTCTGCCCCAAATCGTTCGCCGTCTCCTCGACCCTGCGCATCCACGCGCGGGTCCACACGGGCGAGAGGCCCTTCCGCTGCGACGTCTGCGGCAAGGCGTTCCCCGTGGCGTCCGCCCTGCGCATCCACGCGCGGGTCCACACGGGCGAGAGGCCCTTCCGCTGCGGGGTCTGCGGCCGGTCGTTCGCCCGGGCCTCCAACGCGCGCAACCACGCGAGGACTCACGCGGGCGACCGGCCCTTTCGCTGCGAGCGCTGCGGCCGGGCGTTCGCGCGCTCCTCGCACTTCGCGAACCACCTGAGGACGCACACGGGCGAGAGGCCCTTCGCGTGCGGCCGCTGCGGCCGCGCCTTCTCGCAGGCCTCCCACCTGAGCGTACACGCGAGGACGCACACGGGCGAGAGGCCCTTCGCGTGCGAGCGCTGCGGCAAGGCGTTCGCCCGCTCGTCGGCGCGCAACGCGCACCGGAAGACTCACGTGCGGGAGGACGAGGCGGCGGCGGCGGCGGTGGTGGTGGTCGGGGTGGAGGAGGAGGAGGAGGAGACTGAGGAGGAGGAGACTGAGGAGGAGGAGACTGAGGAGGAGGAGACGGAGGAGGAGGAGACAGAGGAGGAGGAGGAGGAGGCGGAAGCAAAGAGCCGGCCACCTCGCGTGAAACGGGAAGCGGGGGAAGACGGCGGCTTTGAAACGTGGCCCGGGGTGGAGGTGAAACGGGAAGAGGAGGGAGAGGATTCGGCTCTGGAATCCGACTGCCAGGTGAAAAGCGTCATCGTCAAGCAAGAGGTGAATTCGGACTCGGAGGGCGAGTGAGGGGACGGTGAGAGGGTGCAGGTGCGAGAACGTCAAGGAGGCGCTGCCGAAGGGAGGAGTCCGCAGTTTGCAAACTGTGGCCAGGAATTTGGAGGTGAAACTGAAAGACGATGAGGATTCCATTGCAGGACCAAGATCTCGCCAGGTGGATGGAGGCATCGTCAAGCAGGTGGAGAAGAATTCGGACTCTGGAGGGGAGGGTGAGACGGTGAACCCCACCGCGCAGTTACTGGGAAGGTCAAGGGGGGCTACGTTGGAAGAAAGTAGTCCCAGCTTTGCAAACTGTGGCCCAGGTGTTGGAGGTGAAACGGGATAGCGGAGGAGGAAGATTCGGCTGCCAGGTCGTTGTCGCTGGCTTCGTCGTCGTGAAGCAAGAGGAGAATTCGGAAATCTCTGAGGGCAGGGTGAGATGATGCCACGATGCAGTTACAGGAAAACGAGAGAGTGACGCGGTGGAAAAAAAGTAAGTCCCCAGCTTTACAAACCGTGGCCCAGGAGTTGGAGGTGACACGGGGAAGATGATGAAGATTCCGCTGCAGGCCCAAGGTCTCCAGGCCGATGGAGGCATAGTCAAGCGGGAGCGGGGGGAATTCGGACTCCGGAGGGAGAGTGAGGCGATGGCCGCCATCGTTACAACAAGTCAAGGGCGCTGCGGTGGAAAAAAGTAGTCCCAGCTCTGTGCACGTGTGGAGGTGGGAGGAGGGAAGATTTGGCTCCGGAATCTGACTGCCGGGTTCATAGTTCACAGGGCTATACCATTTATTTGGTATAGCCCTGTGAGCCATTCGGCTCTTGAATCGGGTGCAACCGCAACAAAAAAAAAACGAACAAGAAAAACATCTTAAAGTGACTACGTACGTGACTGTGCAAACAGAAAATCCAGGAAAAAAAAAAACCCATCAAAATATTCCTGAAATAGCAGCGTACACCAACGAAGTTGTACTCTGGAGGGATGAAGTGAGGTGTGATGCTCCTTCAGTTACGAGAAAGTCTGAACACTCCAGAAGAAAGTAGTCCAAGGTATGCAGGAGGATCGTGGGTTCGATCCCTACCCTGATGCGTGTTGTATATGCGGAGTTGGCGTCGCTCTCTTTCTCTCACCGTGCTCGCGTGGATTTTTCTGCGGGGCGTCTGATTTTTTTGTTTTGCCTGCCGATGTGAATTCCCACAGAGTGATGATGGCAGCCACTTGGTTGAGCTGCTAGCGTTTGTGATGGCCGGGTGGCTTCTGAACGAAGAAGCTACCACACAGCTCAGTGGCGGTGCCTGACATCTGGTAAAATAAATAATGGTTTTATTATGGGTCTCAATGAGGATGGGTCTCTGTGTCTTCGTGGGTTTCTGTGGGTCTCGGGGTCTATGCGAGTCTCTGCATATGTATGTTTCTGTATGTATCTATATGGGTCTCTACGGGTCTCTGTGTCTGTAATATCTATATGATGGTGATGATGATGAAGATATCAGCCACTTGGTTCATTTATTTGGTATAGCCCTGTGAGCCATTCGGCTCTTGAATCGGGTGCAACCACAACAAACAACAAAAACATGAACAAGAAAAACATCTTGAAGTGACTATGTGACTGTGCAAACAGAAAATCCAGGAAAAAAAAAACATCAAAAATATTCCTGAAAAAGCACCGTACACCAACGCTGTGTGCAAAAAATCCCAGTGGGATGCAAGTCAAAATAACAACAACAACAACCAAGACAATTCTAGATTTAAAGCTTTCGTGACTGCTAGGATCCATACTCTTTGGTTCTATTGGGTAAAGTCACGTAGGTGAAAATAAAATAACAAAAAATCACGACGTTTCGGCCACAACACAAGCGGCCTTCATCAGGTGAAGGGACGAGACTGTCTGGAGGACAGCGCTGGAGTGGAAGAAGCCACGCTTAGATCACGACCTTTAAGCTGTGTGAGAAGAAAAAGACCACGCGCCTTGACAAAGGAATTAGCATATAATTTAGCATTGAAATGGCTCATTGAAATAGCTAAGTAAAAGTATACACATCCTCAGAGGTACCCCTTGACAAAGGAATTAGCGCTGGAGTGAGAGAAGCCACGCTTAGATCACGACCTTTAAGCTGCGTGAGAAGAAAAAGGCCAAGTGCCTTGACAAAGGAATTAGCATATAATTTAGCATTGAAATGGCTCATTGAAATAGCTAAGTTAAAGTATACACATCCGCACAGGTACCCCTTGAAAAAGAAATTAGCATCGAATTTAGCACAATTTTGCACAAGACAACTAAGATTAAGGTCATCAGTCTAACTCCGTATACAATAAACAAAAACATGGCCAAAACCCCCAAAAAAAACGTTTTCGAAATCACCAAAATAAAAGCCATAAATGCAATGTAACAGTGATCATAGGGACTGTCACCGAAATGGGCCGTTATTATTTGAAGAAAGTAGTCCCAGCTTTAGAAACGTGGCACAGGCGTTGGAGGCGAAACGTGAAGATGGTGAAGATTCCATTGCAGGACCAAGATCACCAGGTCGGTGGAGGCTGCGACAGCAGAAAGTGGTCCCAGCTTTACAAACCGTGGCCCGGGTGTTGGAGGTGACACGGGAAGATGCCAGATTCGATTGCAACCTCCCCCCCCCATCCATCGACCAATCTCGGCGTCCGTGGAGGCATTGACACAAGTAGGAGGAGAGTTCGGACTCTGGAGGGATAGTGAGGAGTGAGGTTGTTCCACGGCGCAGTTGCAGTCGGAGCGCTGCGGGAGAAAGTAGTCCGTGCTCTACGAACGTGGGCCAGGAGTTTGAGGTGAAACGGGAAGATGATGAAAGGTTCCATTGCAGGATCAAGATCTCCAGGTCGATGGAGGCATCGTCGAAGAAGAGGAGGAGGAGGAGGAGGATATTTCGGACTGGAGGGAGAGTGAGGTGATGACCCCCACTGTCGCAAGGAAGTCGAGGGCGCTGCGGGGGACAAAAGTAGTCCCAGCCTCACAAACCGTGACCCAGGAGTTGGAGGTGAAAAGTGAAGACGCGAGATTCCATTGCAAACCCCCCCTCCATCGACCGATCTCCGGGTCGATGGAGGCGTTGACGAGCAGGAGGAGGAAGGGGAGAATTCGGACTCTTCAGGGAGAGCGAGACGGTGACCCCCACCACCGAGCGGTTACGAGGAAAGGCGGAGAGAGCGCTGCGGCGGATGAAAGTAGTCCCAGCGTTACGTAGCCGGTCCGCCTTGTCCCCCCCCTCCCCTCTTCCTCCCGTCGTGAATCCTCACGATAAAAATGCATTCAGGAGACGACGGAGAAGTGTGTTGGGGTGGATCAGGGACGCGTCATCATGACCCTTCCACGTCACAACACCGCTCCGTGTCTGCAATAGCGGATCGGGGATGCATCGTCGTCACCCCTCCACGTCACAACACCGCTCCGTGTCTGCAATAGCGGATCGGGGATGCATCGTCATCACCCTTCCACGTCACAACACCGCTCCGTGTCTGCAATAGCGGATCAGGGATGCATCGTCATCACGCTCCCACGTCACAACAACGCTGCGATTCTTCAATAGCGGATCAGAGATGCATCGTCATCATCATCATCATCACCCTCGTCACAACACCGCTTCCTATCTGCAATAACGGATCAAGTCACATCATCGTCACCCTCCCATGCCACACCACTGCTGCCTATCTGCTATATTGCCAGATCCAACACAACCGGTGTGCTGTTCTAGTAACGAATCGGCGCGTTCTGTTTACGTGACGCTAAACATTACTTATTCTTAGTTTTTTCGGTAAAGTCACGTTGAAGAGAAACAACAAAATAATAAAATATATATGTTTTATATATATTATATATGTTTTATATATACTTTATTATTTTGTTGTTTCTCTTCAACGTGACTTTACCGAAAAAAACTAAGAATATGAATTACTGCAGTCACGAAAGCTTTAAATCAAAATTTAAACATTACTTGTCGCTCAGATTGAAAGGGGGGGTCTGGGGACCGCCACTAACTTCAACGCGCTTCAACAGGCTGCGGCGACCCTCACACCAAGACCGAAGGGATTTTTTTCTCCAAATAACCAGCCGGATAATGGCTAAGTTCTTCATTATTTTTTCTCCATGTTGGAGGTTTTTGTTGGGTTGGATCGCGTAAGTATGAAGGTTGTGACGTTAAACCCGCCACCACCCGTCAAAGCCAATCAGAAAGGTTTTGTGCGACGTAAACGGGAACGATGCCAATTCGTTACGAGTACAGCACCACACTGGCTGTGTGTTGGAGAGCAAACGACAGGAGGTAAAAGGACATTGGGCATGGATAAAGTTTGTTGCAGGACATAACGGGGGATCTTTGTCTTTGTGTGCTTATTTGTGTACCTGTGTGTGTGTGTGTGTACCTATGTGTTTGTAACTGTGCGTGTACCTGTGTGTGTACCTTTTTGTGTACCTGTGTGTATGTACCTTTGTGTACCTCCATAATATAGGTGTTTTTCTTGGCTTAGATCACGTAAATATAAATATTGTGTCGTTAAACGCGCCACCACCCGACACAGCCAATTAGTAAGGTTTGTCACGTAAACAGAACGTGCCACTTCGTTACCAAGTGTAGTGGCTGACTCGGAGACATTAAGAGCAGGGGGCGCTCCGTTTATTAACACGGCCTCACTGGTAACGCTTGGTGACTACGGTTCACAGTCAGGACAGCTGGTCGACTGCCTGACGGCGAAGACTCTAGCAGCAGCGAGACGGGGATCCCCCCCCCCACTCCAAACGACAGCCTCGAGGTCCCCTCCCGGGGCCCCTCTTATACCGTCAGCGCGGCCAGGCTCCGCCGCCCGGCCACGCCCCCTTCTGGAACCTACCAGCGGGGTTCTCGATGTGCCCCTTCCGTAAACCTTTCCCTTAGATCCCTCTCGGGTCTATCACGTGGCCTGCTGTCGTGTCGGGGCGGCTGTAGGACGCTGCAAGATCCCCTTCCCTGCCAGCAGCCAGCACTATGCTGCCACGTGACCGATCCTATCTCACTACACGAGTAACGGATTGGCTGTTCTGTTTACTTCTAGATTTAAAGCTTGCGTGACTGCAAGGATCCATACTCTTTGGTTCTATTGGGTAAAGTCACGTAGGTAAAAAAAAAAAAATAACAAAAATCACGACGTTTCGGCCACAACACAAGCGGCCTTCATCAGGTGAAGGGACAAGACTGTCTGGAGGACAGCGCTGGAGTGAGAGAAGCCACGCTTAGATCACGACCTTTAAGCTGTGTGAGAGGAACAAAGCGCCTTGACAAAGGAATTAGCATAGAATTTAGCATTGAAATGGCTGAGTGATTAGCTTGTGACTGGTCACAGAAATGGCTATGTTAAAGTTAAAGCATGCACATCCGCAGAGGCACCCCTTGACAAAGGAATTAGCATAGAATTTAGCATTGAAATAGCTAAGTTAAAGTATACACATCCGCAGAGGCACCCTTTGACAAAGGAATTAGCATAGAATTTAGCATTGAAATAGCTGAGTGATTAGCTTGTGACTGGTCACAGAAATGGCTATGTTAAAGTCAAAGCATACACATCCGCAGAGGCACCCCTTGACAAAGGAATTAGGATAGAATTTAGCATTTAAATAGCTGAGTGATTAGCTTGTAACTGGTCACAGAAATAGCTGTCCTCCAGACAGTCCTCCAGACAGTCTCGTCCCTTCACCTGATGAAGGCCGCTTGTGTTGTGGCCGAAACGTCGTGATTTTTGTTATTTTATTTGTTTTACCTACGTGACTTTACCCAATAGAACCAAAGAGTATGTTCTGTTTACGTCACACTAAACTTTACTAATTGGCTGTGTCGGGTAGTGGCGGGTTTAACAACACAACATTTACACTTACGCAATCTCACCCAACAAAACCCGATATCGTGATTGATACTGCTCGCGAAAGCCTAAATGCACGTTTAACTAAAAAAAAAATTCTAATCGAGCTCAAATGTTATTTTTTTCTCCTTTGCACGACATTGCGGGGAGTGGCTGGGCTTTGCGTGTTGTGTATACGGTGGAGCGGTGTGGTTTGGTCAGCGGTGTGGATTGCGTGGTTTGGGTATTTTTTTTTTTTATCCCATTTGTTTACCTGCCGCAGTGCTGGAAAATTGGCATAGACGTTAACCTGTTGGGGCCAAGGGCGGTGTTAGTAGTAGCGAGTAGCAGCAGCGTCTATGAAGGCCTGCACTGTGGCATGCACAGATAATGATAAAGATCCCCCGTATAGCCTCGACAGGCTGTAGGGGCAAATGCTCTTAAGCGAGTAGCACCTATGA